AGAAGAAAGAGGAAGAAGAAGAGAGACCTCATGTGTCAGGCCTCACAAATACCTATCTATGCAAAAAATTAATAATAATAATTGAGTGTCATTTGTTCTTCGTGGATCGGAATTCAGGTAACACATCGGTGTCAGTGTTCGAAGTCGCAGCCATTGAGCTGCGGCCTGTTTCCGTCCGCATTTTTCCAGTGTTCCTGAATTTCGGGCCGTCCCATCTCTACCATCACACATTGATCGTTCGTTTACACGGAGCGCTCTTCCCGGAAGAGCACTGATTATCGGTAATGCCTCTCCTAATGGTCTCCGAAAGGTAAAGGTGGGACGATATGGCGTCCTGGCCAATCTCATTCGCTCCTTTACACACGGGACTTGTCGGCAGACGCAAACGGGCAACCGAAACAGCTCTCGAAGGCCCAGCACTGCTCCAGCGGCCATCTGACCATCCTGGACGCTCGATAGTGTCAATGGATTTCCTCGGCGGAATAATGTGATGCCATTCGTCATTTGTGGTTTCTGTTTTCTAGGTACTTCAAGTAGAAACTCCGCGCGTCCGTCATCGTTTGCACCCACGTTCTGTCCATATTCCACAGTTCAAGTTGTGATGTCCCTACGTTCTATTCTCAGTGTGTCATCGTCACCCCCACTCAAGAACTGTCAGGATGTCACCGACATGACACGCTGACACTTCCACACCTGACACCTACAGTAACAGTGACACTGAGCTGGGCCGCGCCTACCTTTTTGGGCCGCGGTTTGCAGTACTGCTGTCCGCAGCCAGTCGGTGAGTAGAGGCACGCCATTGCCGCCACCCCTGCCACCTCCACTCCACACCTCAGCTCCGCCGCCACCGTAAACTAGGCTCTGCGAGCCCCGAGCTGGCGCAGCTCGACAGGAGGCGGGGCCGGCCGCCGCCGAGCACCAATCAACGGCCGCCGGGGTCAGTCACGTGACCTGCGCGCGGCCAGCCGAGCCGGCCCACGGCCCTTCATCAATACGGCGGCTGCGGCAACGGACTGGGCCTGGGCTGGGAGAGCTACAGAGCACAGAGCTGCCATTAGGAGAGCGAGACTCTTCCAGGAAGAGCGCTCCCAGGAAACGAACCAGGACTCCAATCAGAGCGTGATGGTAGCGGCAGGGACGGCCCGAGATTCACGAACACTGGAATAACACGGATAGAGAGAGACCACAGCTCACTGGATGATTCTGTCCTGCTTCGGAAAGGACCAGGACGGCACGTCTAGCTATCTTGCCATGCCTTCATTTGCAAAGACAAAGGCTGGACGACTGATTCAAAGCGATCAGCCCGCACAGAGGCAGCTGCTAGGGGGCGTGCCTGCCCCCCTCCCCTCGCACCCCTGATAAATGACACGGTTGTCTACAAAACAGCCGCCGAGGTGGCGTAAACAAGCAGACTGTTTTGCACACCCAGACGCTCGCGTTGTGACTTTGACGGTGGACTTTTTGTGAGCGAACCAAAACGGTGGGGTGAGGGGTCTTGGAAAGGCATTTGTTCACACCAGACAGGCTGCATGTTGAAAGAATGACCGGATTGTGTGAAAGCTATGTACCCGTATAGAGGGTAATGAGCTCGGCTAATGACTATGAGATGTTTAGATAATTAAGTGTCACTCGTATTTTTGAGTTCAGAGCGATCATGGGACCGGAATCGCTGCGGATGCTGTTTCTCCGGAAAACGTTTGTGCATTTTCCTGCTACAGCCTGCATAGTGCATACTCGTATCATTCGCAATTTCCATAGAAAGGAAGAGCACTTACCTATACCATTGGATGTGCTCCACGCTTTCAGCGGAAGTATATGACTTTGATGTGCCCATGATTCTTGCTAGTGAAATGCCAGAGCAGCATACGACAAGATCATTGCTCACCTAATTCCACATAGCACCATGTGCCGCGACAACAAATGCCTTGTAAGCATGCCGCTTAAATGAATTGAATAACACAAACATTGTATCACTTGACGCCTAGCCTCTGCAGCACCCAGCGTTGTGTAAAACTAACGAGTGCCGAGGGTTGTCAAGCCATCTGGTATGGCCTTTCCCAGACGCCAACCGCTATTCGAAGAACACAAAGGAAACTGGACCTGTAAATGCAGATCTGAGAATGGAGGTTGGAGAGTGGAGAGCCAGGCTTCGCAGAACCGTACGGAGGATGCAGTATAACATGAACTAAACAGGAACAACGGCTGAAGGACACTCCAACTAGGCAAATCAAATGAGAGCCGGACGGACGGACGAACGGACATATGGGTAAAGATCCGTTCCGAATATCTATTTACACAGCTGTTAAATACAGACATATTGCTGGGCTGTCAACACCCATGTCAACAAACTTGTACGGATTTAGAAACAAACAGCATGTCGTATACGAGTTGAGTACCAAAAGTCATACCAAACATTAATGGCAGCGTCGGTCATCGCAACAGCAGAGGCAAATAAATTTCCCAAATCAATAAGCCTGTAGCCTACCTCGGGAGTTCCTAGCATGCTATAGCTGCGCTTTGTACAGTGTGTCTAAAAAGAATGTCCCGTCGCCACTACGCGGCGCTGGTGTCGCGAGCCGGTAGTTGGCTGAATCCGCACCAGACTACAAATTCCCAAGCGCTGGGTCAGACAGCTGCGCAGCGGCCGGTAGTAGCGTAAGCCGGAACCTTCGTGACATGACCCCGGGAGGGAGGGAGTGGGAGGGGAGCGGGCGGGGCAGCGCGTTTAGTGAGGGGTGCGCCGGTAAGCTGGTAGTTGTCGCGGCCAAACGACAAGGTCACAAGGGTTCTGGCGCAAATGGGTGAAATGCTGATGTGGGCACAAGGTGGGGATAGGGAAGCTTTTGGATGTGTGTTGTGTGTGTGTGTGTGTGTGTGTGTGTGTGTGTGTGTGTAGGTGTGTGTGTGTGTGTGTGCCTCTTACGAGGAAAAGGTGTCACGTTGGTAGCCGTGTCTGAACCAAAGGGTGCACTGAAGCCTTGTCAACTTCGTAGGTCGGTGCAGAAAATGACATTGTCCCAAAATGTCTTCATTTGGGTGGGAAACGACATCAAAATAAAACTAATTTTACACTTTCATCTCTAATTTTCAAAGGCAATTGTCCAGAATTCACTCCAGCAATTTTACTGAGAAAAGCATTTAGATTGTCGTTTAACATTCTACATTTTACCAACTTGTATACCTAACAATTTATATCATTGCTCCCTTTTTTCTATTTTTGGCATTACATGAAATGCAATTTTCCACTCTTATCCCCGTTTTTGAGAGGAATTTTCCCTCTGACACCCTTAACCCTCGCCGGCCGAGGGGGGAGGGGGGGGGGGTGAACATCATTTCACACAAAGATTCAAAAGGCATTGATACGGTGCACTGACATACGCTGAATCGCGATTCCGGCCTGACATGGTCTCGACTAACGGGTCACCTTACGTTACCTTCCTTATACGGTAATCGGGTTGTAGGAGGCCAATTTTGCCTGTGGGGCCCGGTCTCAGCGAGCTCCCAGTGCTCGCTGAGACCGGGCCCTCAGTTCCGAGACAGTCAGCCTCAATAGGTTAGGTTAGATTGGGGTCAGGTCACAGGTCATATGTCATTTGGGTCAGGGTCGATAACTTATCATGGTATGTTTAAACTGATTAATACGAGGGTAGTAAATGTTTCATCGCGATCGCCATCATTGCGCGAATTATTTGCAAAAAACCGAGAGGGAGGGGGCCACTCGCCCCTCCCTCCCCCCATAAGTGCGAGGATTAAGGCCAATGGCTTTCATCTGACCACCGACCTTGAAACCCATCATACTTAATGGGAACAACATCATTTCACATGCTAACACGTTTATAATAAAGTCTGGAAACTCACCGATAATATCGACAGTTCCGAGCAAGAACATCCTAAGTGTCAAATTTTTCGAATTTGAGATATTATACCATTCGACTCAGCTCGACGAGGTGAGTCGAATGGTATAAAAATCTAACTTCGAAAAATTTGACACTTAGGATGTTCTTGCTCGGAACTATCGATATGCGCTGGTATAATACGCCGATCGGAATTCTGGTCCGACGTTGTCTGGAGAAACAGTCACAGCTCAAATGCTAACTATAGGTCAGGGTCCTTAAAATGTTAGAGGATGTTTAAAACTAAACAAATCGGGAGTACTGGTAGCTACTCTGCGACCGGTCGACTTCTACGCGAGTTGTTCGGAAAAACCAAGGGATTCATTCGACACCCCCTTCCTTTAAAGGGACCCTCCCACCTTAACATTAGTTTTGAGTTGAGATAGCCAAGTTTGCGGCCAGGCTCAGAAACCACCATTTATCCTGGTCGCAACCCCCGCAGCTTTACGGTGTTCAAGAAATTTCTTCCTTTTACTTGCAGGGTGGGACCAGCGTGGTCCCTATCTCTTAACCATTACGGAAATCTGATGACGTCATCAGGCTTTCGAACGTCCGTTAAATGTTTGACTAAAACGTTTTGTAGCACGCGGTGGTATATGCTGCTTTGCGCGCAACAAATGCCGCACTTTCAAATAAAGTCGCTAGGAACAGCGGAGATCCTAAAAAGTAAACAAAAGTAAAAGTCTAATATCTTGAAAACCGGTGAATATTTTTCGATGAAATTTGGTAGATATTCGTTTTTGCTCTTTCTGAACCGAGCGACATCACTTTCATGCCAATTCATTAACTTTTTTGAAGGTGGGAGGGTCCCTTTAAGTGCGATAGTTAACTTTGCTAAATCTCGTCCGTGTTGGTCATTTAATAAACAGTTGCTAACGATCAACTGGGGCTTGCACCCCCACCCACGAACAGTTTGGACCTGATTGGGTTGGGTATATGGCTTTGTTGAAGAAAGCGAGCGCATTGCTCGTGACCTATAACCCTAACGATGGTTGAACGTTGTTTCAACGACTTCAATGCTTCAAATTCAACGATTCGAATGCTTAGCTTCGAGGTCAAGTCAATAGCTTAAATGTAAAAAAGGAGCCTCCTACATCTTCTTGAAATGAAGTTTTCTTGGCATATCGTTTGGCTTTTATTTAATACTTTTTGTGAAAATATCATTTGTGCATTCGGGTTAGGCTGCAACCGGTCAGTGGCCTCTATGAACACCGAATAGGAAACCCGAGGTCTAAGACCCCGCTATAAAGGCGAGGGTTAGCCTTTCAACACTTAATCATGGTACACTCAGTTGTAGTATTTTCAACAAACACATTTCAGAGCAATCAACACTGCAAAACAAGTCAGCACCTCTCACACTGCACAGAAACGGTTAAGAACAGACACAAATAACATAGCGAGCTAGCGGTGCATTCAAGGCTTCCTGACTCAGCAGTGGCCAATACGGAGTCAAACGGCAGCAGGCTCCGAACAGACGCAGCGGCAGCCACAGCCACGGCAGCATCGCCGCCGGCGACAAGCTAGACTCTCGGAATCAACCGCTCGACGGTTGTCGGTCGTCGGTCTCAAGTCAGCAGCACCATACCTGGAGCGGAGCATGTGCTCGTGAGACATGACATGACATGGCATGGCATGAGCTCGTAAGACAGACCAGATCGATAGGGACCAATAATTTTATATATTTTACAATATTTATATATTTTACAATATTCATCAATGTAAGGTTTACCCCATACAATCGATGTTGCTGTAAATGCATTGGCGGCTGAAGTCATTTTCTAAATTCACCAACCTTACTGGCGCTCCTAGTATCCCGTGTGTCCGCCGCCGCTCTCGATGACGGCCTGCAGACGGCCGGGCATCGAAGCCGCCAGAGAGGCAAACATCGCCGGCCGGGATCGCAGCTCCTCCCACTTCTTCTCCACGCGTGTCCACAGCTGGTCGGAGGTCAGGCCGCGCAGACCACCGTCCTCGCCGAGCTCCCGGGCCATTACGCCCCACACATTCTCAATGATGTTGAGGTCTGGACTCTTGGGAGCCCACTCCACGACAGCCACCTGTAATGATGAGTCGCTTTTAATTGTGATATTGATGTCCGTTTTCATTTTGCCTTTACGCGTTCGTTTGCAATCTATGATGAATTTTTCCTAATTAACCCGGCGGCCGCTGGGCCTCCGCGCCACCCGCCGGCCGCTGGGGGGGGGGGGGCATATAGTTGCCCCCTTTACTTCTGCGACAATATCGCAATCGTCGCGAAGAGATAGAAAAGCGAAACTTTGCACACATCTTCCTGAATACCTAGCCGAGGTTGTGTCTAAATTTGGTGTCGATTCCGTTTGAAATGATGTCACATTGACGTCAGAAGTCAAATTATAGGTTTGCGACTCTCAGTTTTCTCACGATATATCCGACAGACGAGACCGAATATAAAGGACCGATTACTGGTCAGGAACTAGTTGGAAGAGTACTTAGATGTTTAAGGATGACAGCAGGTGCTGTCTGGTTCATTTACAGTTGAGTTTCATGCTCAGCGACATCAGAAACGGTCCATATCGGAAAACGACAAAACTTTATGACGTCACTGTGACGTCATCTTAAGTGCTACAACCACCACAGTTTCCTCAAACATTGCCTAGGTATTCATTTGAAACTAAGCAAAGTTTCACATTCATAGCTCATCAGGTTTCGGAGATATTCCACAAAACGTAAAGGGTGGGGGCAACTTTATGCCGCCCCCCCCCCCCCCCCCCATGGCGGCTCGTGGGTTTGTTTCGCTTATTGCTAAGCATTTGCCACTCTTCAGCCATTTTTTCTGTTCTCAGATACAAAATAAGTTGAACACTTATGATTTGACATTAGAAACAAGATAGACATGAATATTATAATTATAAAATAAGAAAATTTATTTGTTTACTCCACAACTTTTCAGCAGATAGCAATATAATCATTTACTTGAGCTTGGTGCTCCTCAAACCAGTTTTTGGTGACGGCTGCCGTGTGTTGAGGAGCATGGTCTTGCACAAGCACGTGCTGGTGAGCCGCCCCTCGCATTTGCTCCAACGTCGGGAACAGGACCTGGTTCAATAGAGCAACAGTTTTCATTGTTTTATAAAAAAAAAAATTCTCATACAATTGTGGATCATGCAGCATGCTTAATTTGCACAGGTGTGTTTTACCGTTTGACGCAATCAAGTTGCAGTTATTCCTCGTTATTCAGTGGGCCACCCATAAATATGCTAGCTACATTCGTTGTTGGAAATAAAATTTTCCCACATTTCCTACGCCAATACAGCTTGTTTTGCTCATTGTCTGATTTTTAACGAACAATTCAAACGGCAGTGATTAGATAGATCACGCTTCCTTTAGCTCACAAGCTTTATACATAAATCGACAAATATTTGTCATTAATTTATCAGTCAGTTAATCGTCAGTAGTTTTTACCTCATCGAGAATCTCCACATATGTGTCAGCTGTGTGGCGCCCGATGACACGGTGGAGTTCTCCGGGCCCAAACCCATCCACCCACCCCCACGCGTGAACAGACTGCCGTCCACTAGCGTCTCTTGTCCGTAGGAAGGACTCCGAGTCGCGCAGTCCCTTCGGCCTAAAATGAGGAAAAGAATAGCATTACAGGGCGATATCGGCAGAAAGAGAGGGAGAGAGAGAGAGAGAGAGAGAGAGAGAGAGAGAGAGAGAGAGAGAGAGAGAGAGAGAGAGAGAGAGAGAGAGAGAGAGAGAGAGAGAGAGAGAGAGAGAGAGAGAGAGAGAGAGAGAGAGTTGTTTGTCCTATGTTGGTTCTATGCATTACTGTGGGTGTCAAGGTCACGTGAATATCAGGTTAAGGTCATTGATCTTTGATGACCTCGATTCACTTTTTGAGTTATGTTCTTAAGGTAGTTTTTGGAGCTGATTTCGAATTTGGCGCCCATTTAAACATTTACGAAGTAGTTTTGGTGCCTTCGTAATATATTTCGAGCCGTCAGTAGTGCTTGACACCTACGATGGATAGCCGGCAGGACGCCTACTGGTTGACCTGACCTGACCTGGCCCGACCTGGTTGTTTGTCCTATGTTGGTTCTATGCATTACTGTGGGTGTCAAGGTCACGTGAATATCAGGTTAAGGTCATTGATCTTTGATGACCTCGATTCACTTTTTGAGTTATGTTCTTAAGGTAGTTTTTGGAGCTGATTTCGAATTTGGCGCCCATTTAAACATTTACGAAGTAGTTTTGGTGCCTTCGTAATATATTACGAGCCGTCAGTAGTGCTTGACACCTACGATGGATAGCCGGCAGGACGCCTACTGGTTGACCTGACCTGACCTGGCCCGACCTGGTCTAAATGCATCAAGACATAATCTGCGATCAAACCTAAAATGATATTCGTGACCAGGACCCCCCAAAAATATAGCACCTTCACTATACGAAGTTCTAGCAGGGCCCGATTTTCCCGACTTTTGGGTCATTGACCTGACCTGGAAGGTCGACCAATGATCTAGGACCTTAAACTTGAATATCATCGGCTTCCTATCGCCAGGGGCAGCACTCTCGTTTTTTTCCGCGAAGCTCTAGCTCCATCGGGGGCCAAACGGCAAGGGAATCCAACGGACCCCCGCCCCCTCCCCCTATACGTTAGACGCTGGCAAAACACGAAACGGGCGAGGGTTAATAATTATGAAATTGCTCCGTTGAAGAACGATTGTCATTTAACTGCACATGACATTGTTCGATTGTATTGAACAATGGATTTCATTCCATACCTTCGGACAAGCAGCTTTCCCGTTTGGTCAGTCCGAAAGATTTTCTCGTCCGAGAAAATAACTCTTGACCAGAACTCCACGGGCTTCGGGAGCAGTTCTTGGGCGAAAAGCACGCGGTTTGCTTTGTTGACTTCACTGAGGTGCAAAGCTGGGGCAGCCCTGTAGGTCCGCAGTCCCCCCTCTTTCAGACGGTTGGAGATGCAGGTCGGGTGCAGATGAGGAGCGCCCGTGGCCGCTCCCACATCCCGCACCGTCATGAAGGGCTGATCCTTCGCCAACTGTAGGATTGCAAACAGGTTGGTACCGTAAACGGGGTGACTTTGCCATGCTTCTCGAAAAATGCTTTAGGGAGATCTCCAGTGATATTTTACGAAGAATTTAATGTTTTTATGCACAAATGAAAGATAATTGATGGGTCTTCCAATATAACCTACACTGAGAGATAAGTTATCACTAAATACCTAACTGGGCTCCATTTTATTGGAGTCATTGAAATGGTCAAATTTGAAAAGGTCCGAAGTTTTTATTATCTAACCATGTTTTAGACCAACTGCGATGCTGGAACTTGGTATGGTTGATCATGACAAGGCTGTTAACCCTCTAATTTTGCTACCACATAATAGTTGATGCTATCTGGTAAAATGGTGCGTTTAAACGAACCATTTTCCAATTGCAATAGGTGCCTGCCATTTAACCCTCGCCCGTAAACGGCGATCTGCCACCTTCGCCCATGCAGGGGGGGGGGGGTTGGTGCGACCCCCCCCTTGGCGTTTGAAAACGGAGCGTCGTAGAGCTTAGCGGAAAAGACCAACGGATTGCTCTCGCCGAGATCTCGCGATTGGTGGTATATTTTTTGGTCCTAGGTCAACATTTGACCTACTTTTGACCGGTCAAAGGTCAAATTTTCGGAAAAATAGACTTTTTTCAACTTTCCGCGGCGATTGCGGCAAAACGGTGGGAGATATCGACTTGAAACCTTCACTATCGTGTTCCTTGATCAATTCTCTATCGTTTGGTATGTATTTCGTTTCCCTAGCTCTAAAAATGGCGCGTTGGGAGCTCCGGAAGTCGGCAAGGTCACAGTCGGCGGCAGAAATTCGAAAAATCAAAATTTAAATTTTTGAAATCTGATTGTATTTTTGGATTTGGAAGGTCCATTTGCTCCCTATAGAAGCTAATATTGCTGCATATTCCCATTGAGGTGACAAGAATTAGCAAAATAGTGGTTCGGGCGCTTTTCAAAAATAGTACCGGACGCTGTTCCTCTTGTGACGTCATAGCTCCGTGACCTGACCTGACCCGGTCAAGTTTCTTATACCATATGATAGCCAATACTTGCCCCAACATGCATGGGAAGTTTCATCACGATCCATCAACCGATGTCCGTACCACCGGCAGGAAACCTCGGGCGTTGGCACTCAGTTTGTGAAAATCCGGCCGGAGGCTGTTCCCTTTGTGACGTCATAACTCCGTGACCTGACATGACCCGGTCAAATTTTTTTATCAAAAGATGCGCAAGGTATGCCCCATAAGGTACCCAAAATTTGGCGGCGCTGCGCGCCGCCGTTTTTGCACTATTTCCGAAAAACCTCAGGGGGGGGGGTTGCACCAACCCCCCCCCCTACATGGGCGAGGGTTAAGCGATTGTTAGCTCGCGCATGACTAAAGAGGATCTACAGAGCCTCCCCCCACCCGTTTTTTTTTTTTTAAATATCTTCTAGACCGCTAAGACTGCATCAATTGACACCTTGTGGCTAAATGGAAATTTCGTAGCTATAATAGGTTGTCCGGGAATGACGTTAGAGTGACGTCATGTTCCGCCCATTTTGATGCATAACATTGAACTATTTACCCTTATGGTTTTCATAAGCATATACATATTGGCTAGTGTGTAAACCAAAAAATGAACTTAATGTGATTTGTTAGCCGGCAGCCAGAGACCAAATTGTGAACCCGAACTAAACTGACCTGAATGGTGGGGTCATCGGAGACCTCGAAGTCAATAAAGAAGGTTTCGTCAGACAGCTCTTCTAGGGTTATATCAAACGCCGTTTGAATTCTGACAATCGGCCCAGTGATTTTGGATATAGGAGGGAGGGGGGGACTCTAGAGCCCTCCCCTCCTCAGTCAACCACGTGATGGAAAGTAATGGAAAATATTCCAGGCATCACTTATTTGCTACTACTTTGGGTCGAAGAACTGGGTAAAAAAAAAACTATGAGCGTAATTTTTCGGAGCTATCCCGGTTTTCATTAAAATTATCACACTATGTTCAAATTACCCTACGTCACAAATTATTTTGCCATATTTAAAAACTAGTTTCAAAAGCAAATATCTTGGAATGAAGGCACTTATTAGTTCATTGTATAACAAAAGCCGTTGCGTATTAGGCGCTAGCAATGTCAGATTTTTCGCTGCAATGAAGTTGCAATGACCTGTTGTGGGGCGTTTTTACTTGCGAAATTGGTTTTCTTATAATGTGCGTCAACATCTCCATTCCATGAAACTTTAAAACCCGTTAATATGATAGCCCTTTTAGTTATGATTATGTCCCTCATTGGTCTTATTGTCGTGCCACTTATGGATTTTCCGTAATTTTGTGTCATTCATACTATGTTCAAGCTGCCCCAGCTGTTCCAATTATTTCCCACCCTATCCTTTCAATTAAATGATGCTCAGCTGAGAGTGAACGGTGCACATTTGTGTAGTTTTCAGTTATGGGTAGGACGGCGCGTCCGCAATATGATAAAGGTTTTACAATTGTTTGCATCAGCATTCAGCACGTACCTAATAGTTCAACAAACATCCATGCAACGGACAAAAAGCAAACAATAATTACATACAATAAAGCATAGATATTAGATAGTTCATATTACCTCCACCATTGCCTGATCCTGTTCCTCTGAAGTGACGCGTGGACGTCCTGAGCGTGGGCGCTGAGCCATTCCAGCCTCGCCTTCTTCTTCAAAACGGGCCAGCCACTTACGAATGGTCTTCTCGGTGCGACCCATGCTTTCTGCGATTTCACTTATTCTTCTCCCCTCATTTCTTAAAGGAAATAGTTCACTTTCACGAAATTATTTTTTTTGCAATGGATTTGTGATTTTTTATGTTCAAAATGATCATCAAAGAAAATAAAACCTTTTTACAGCAAAAGATTATTTTCTATATTTTTGATATAGGAAGAACTTTTCAGTTTCTGTAAGGCACACGCGATCCAGTATGAAAAGAGCATGGGTCCCGAAAATTCTTAGAAACTTGAGAAATTATCGCGGCCACCGGCATTTGAGCGATCTGCTCGTGCTTTTGTTACTGGAGCGCCTCACTGGAGCGAATTTCTCTAGAGTTCTCGTAGATAATCTCTCTAGTTTCTGAAGAATTTTCGGGACCCATGCTCGTTTCATACTGGATGCGAATATATGCAAGGCACACATCCTCAACGCAAGACACATTTTTCGGGACGAGAAATAGAATATCTTTGCCTAGGGTGATCGTTGGGCTGTAAAAGCTCCTGATTTATGCTCGTCTCAGCCCAAGCTACGGAACTGCTATTCCAGTTCAAAACCCATGTTAAAATGTGAACTATTTCCTTTAACTGAATTATACGCCCCTTTTCAAACTCGCTGCAATGATACGGCATTTCACAGCGCAAAACAAATCGCGGAACGGTATGCAATCAAAGCTGGCGCGCTACTCCCCCGATTGTTGCCAAGTGGCTGAGTCGCTCGTCTGTCGCCTCCTTGTCCCGAGTTCAAGGTCATAACCCAATCGGGTCACCAATGGTCGCTTGCGTCAGCTGATTTCATAACACGCACAGTGGATGATGGGGGGGGGGGCGAATTTCGTCCACCCTTCCTGTTTTTTGCAAGTA